ATTTGTTATAATTGTTTTCCCAAATTCTGTTCTCAGGCGGTGCTCCAGCTGTGCGAAAAGAGGTGATCAGAAATAAGATCAGGGCCATTGGAAAGATGGCCAGAGTCTTCTCTGTCCTCAGGTGTGTTATATGTCATAATAATGGGAGCATGGTTATTTATTTAATTGGTATTAATGATTATCAGTAATTTATCATTAATCAGAGTTAATTCCTTATTGCTCGTTTCCATTGCTGTCTTGCTCTACTTTTTTATAAGGTTAATGACTTTTTCTTGAATTATACTTGCCCCACTTCATTTTTTAAGTGTGTCAGAAAAAAAGCCTTCTTTTGAAAATGTGAAAGCATCAAAAAGGGCATTACACAATCATCTTTCTACAGTGTGATATGTTACACTGGTTCTTGTATATATCAGCTCTCCTTTGCCTCTGCAGATGGCTCCTAATCTATTGTGTCTTTTCCCAGAGAGGAGAATGAGAGTGTGCTGCAGCTCAAAGGGCTGACCCCCACTGGGACACTGCCTCTGGGAGTTTTGTCTGGAGGTCGACGGACTCTGCAGAGCGGTGAGTCCAAATGGAGCCAATCAGCTCATCCACTCATAGTTTACTCTTATTTCCAGTGTCTGCACGTGCACTGAACACTAACTACTGAACTGAACAACTCATTAACACAACAAAATGTAAAGTCAGATCTTGTCCATGAAACCCTCATCTCTGCCACACTGCCCTAGGTAATGATGGTAATTTAAATTGCTATACAAGCATATCATAGCATAATTCTGATGAATGTTTATCTAGATGTGTTCAATCTCAGGCTTCAAAAAACAAAAACTCCTCTCCTTAATCCTCCTAGTACAGTGTGGCTTACACTTCTAGATTGTATTGCTTTAACGTTTGTTTTAAAATGCATTGTAACTTTGATTCCAGTTTGCAGACTTTGCACCTTCTAACCTGTCATGTAGTCTTTACTAGTGTTAAATCAGAGAAGAGGGTTGTATTATCATTATCTTTAAGTGTTAACATTGACTTAACTGAATGCATTGATAATTAATGTTGCCACTTTCTCTCCATTGGTTTTGGGCATGGCACTTCTACTCACGCTTACACAGCCACCGTAGAGGCAGAGGAAGCACGAGGTATGCAAGTCTCCTTCTTTCCTTTTTTCTGTGTATGTCAGTTAACCAGATTAACTATGTAACTACATAATGTACCATACAGTAATGTGTTTTAACAATCCCTTTGTTGCTGTCTTTGATCTTGTGTCTTCTTCTAACATTGTAATTTTAATTATAAAGATATGTAAACATATTGTGTAAAGCTTAGTTATTGTATTTATTACAGTTCATGAATTTAGTGAAAAATGTTTGTATAAGCAAACTAATCAGTTCAAATTCTCATATTTTACCTTACACGCTGTCCACATTCTCTGTCAAAGTAAGTTCTGTCATGAATACACCATTCTTCTCTTGTATTGTTGGAGGACATTTAAAGTCATTGAAGCCATAGTGGCTCCACTGGAGGTCTAGTTATTATAACAACAATTAGCCATGGTTATGGTTGATTGTGATCTTTGGATGCCCTCAATTCTAATAGGACACTTTCCAAAATGATAATAGCCTCTTGACTGCATGTACAAATAAAATAATATAGTAGGAAGCATTTAGATATATTCAATCGAATCTTGATACGAGCTTGTTGCCAAACACAGCCCAAACTGCACCTTCTATTGGACAGTGAGTGTTTGATGTCTGGATTCATCAAAGACTGGAAGCCAATAAATATTAAGTTCATAAATTGTACTTTAAGGTCTAAGAATATTGTAGTGAATCTTTTTCCACTTTGCCCACTACTATTTAAGTGTGCACCTGGTACAATATGGTCTCGTCTATTCTTTTGTAAATAACAGGAAAACATTTTATTTGGTACCAACTGTCCTACTAAAGTGTTTTTAATTGGCAAGCACATTACCTCCTTTCAGTAGTTATGAAACTCAAACTGTTTCTTATTTTTATAGCTATTCAGATAAGGGCAATTATTTCTTTATGCAAATACAGTTGGGCATTGAAGTATATTTGACACTCGTTTGTTTCTGCAGCTATTCAAGGCTTTAAGCCACAGCACAAAATCCAGAGCTTTGAAGAGGCCAGAGGTCTGGACCTGATCAATGAAAGGATGCCTCCACGACGTGACTCAAAGCAAAACGAGGGTGCTTCATCTCTTAACAACCTGCCGGCCACTGCTGGACTCCCAGACAAGAACGGCACCAATGCACAGGCCTAAATCTTATAGCTCTCCCCAGTCTGTCCCTCTGCTCCCCCCCTCTGCTTCTTCTCAATCATCCCTCCTTCCTACTTACTCTCCTCTTATGCTTCCCATCTCCAACAAGAACAGGAGACGCAATGCAGAAACTTTTTGGTCCAAGTAATTTTCACTCTGCTTAATTTATTTAATCATCTCTAGGAAGTTTATCATTATAGAGACGGAACCAGGGCAAACATGTTGGAAAATGAAGCGGGTGGCCCACACGGCTGGGTTGAGCGCTAGTTGCTCCACTTTATCTTGTGTTTTTGGGGACAACATTATTCATGCCCTCTGTTGAGTGTTCTTGGCGAGGCTGGGACAGCGGGCTGTGCGCTTATTCAAATGTACTTATGCTGAGATCATGCCCACGTAAAAGAGCAGTGAAAGCACTTGATTCAAAATGAGAGCATCAATTGAAACCTCCACTGCATAAAACCATCCTTTCTTATGCCAATGATAGTGTGAATGAGCTCTCAGGAGCAAGTATTGACATTTATATGTATATTTTAATGATTTCCTCTTTTCAATGTGATGTTTTTTACAACACAGATTTTGGCATAATTATTTAGAGAAAGAAAAGGGACAAAAGAAGGAACAAAATGGAAAATGAGTGCGAAAGTTTGATCCATGCATTATTAGTAATAAATATTTGATAATGTAAGAATAAAGAATTCTTAAAGGGAAAACAATCCAGAAACTTACCCATAAATTACATAAATCAGTCTTGTGGTTGGTGGCTTATTAGAAGCCACAAAAACTGTTCATGCTCAACCCTGTTCTAAAAATAATGTGATATTGTCATTTATGGACCTTTTCCAAGCACTTGTATGTCATATTTTTTCGCCAGGTATTATGGTCTCATTGTATTTCTATTTTTCCGGTGGAAGATCTGGAAAGGTGATGCACTGAAATGCAAGCTTTTAAATCTTATGCTAATGTAGTATGGGTATAATAAACTGTTAATCTATTTTAAAATGTATGTACTCATGATGGCGTTCACTTTTATGGGAATAGCCCGAGGAGTTACAGTAGGTAGGTTGAAGGCTTGATTGTTTGCTGCCTTTTAAAAGTTCAGCTGCCTTAGTCATGTTTCCATGACAACATACCTGATGTCACCTGTCTGTCCAACGAAGCTGCATGAAGTTTGGGAAGATTGTGGAAGCAAATCTTGATTTTATATCTGATGCTTGCATTTCACTTGTGATATTTCCAGATCTGCAAACCAAACTGAATAAACTTGTTTTTACAATAAGAGAAGTTCAGATGACACTTAATTAGTCCTTCTGAACCAGAGGCAAAAATGAAAATCTTGAGGTGCATTTCAGGGGTTTGTATCTGGGGCCTGGATATATTCTTTAAGGTGTTGGGTGATAAAGACTTGGGGATTTGGGTGGGAGTGGCAAGTCCACTCTTTTTTTTCTGAAAAAAACAAACAAAAAGAAAAGAAAACAAAACAAAATAAAAAAAACATATCTCACAGAATGTACAGTAATGAAATGAATGAAATTCTTTAAAGCTGTGTTTGGAGAGGAAAAGTTTTGTTTTTTGTTGAGAACATGTATGACAAGGCCTCCAAAGGCTTGTAGATGTTTCACTCCATTCAAATAAAGAGGCGATTTAGTGCGGCTGGCGTGTGTTGAATGAGTGCTTGTGCTTGTGGTGCTCAAGGACGGGGGGGACTGTCAATCAAAGGACAGCGTAGGAGGTGTTGCTTTGTGTTACTTCATCCAGGGAGAGCGGCACTGAAAAATCACCAGCTACCTTGCTTTTATGTGTAGAGCCATATGTTTCTTAGCAACAGAAACCCTCCTCATGATTCACCTGCAGTCAGTACTTCCTTGAGTGCACAAGAAATAAATGTAGAAACAAACTATATTATCGTTAACAAAGTATATAACACATACAACAGTGAAAAAACAAAGCAACCTAAAACTGAAATACTGAAAATGGGTTGCCCAGTAGTGACATTTAAAGAGCTTATGGTTTTCATGGTTTTCTAAATATTACTTAGCTTGATGGGATGATATCTGTGGTAAATATGTATCATAGTTTTACATCAGTCAAGTGTTGATGCAGTGACAATTTAAGCACAAGGAACACTTTTTTTCTGCTAGTTTTAAACGGTCATATCAAAATGTCATACTTTAATTTGTCAAATCATAATTGTGTCAATGAGCTTTAGTCTTATTTGCAGTATGGCTGCTAGTTAACAGTTATAGAATTACCTCTAGACATTTCACATTTACTGCATGTGCAACTAGGAAGTACAATTATACATCAACAAAAAATGAAAAGAAAGAAAGAAAAAAGAAAACTGGGCCATGATTTTTTTTTTTGTAAAACCTTAAATATAATCATGTTAAGAAATGTGTAGTCTAACTTGTCATATGCACTTACATATCCCCAATTAAAATCTCAAAGAATATTTATGGACTGTACCTCATTTTAAATCCTCAGAGCACTTCACGAGTCCTTCAACATTTTATTCCACTATAGCAAATAGAAAGTGGTGATTTTACTAGTAAAACTGTGCCCAAGCTTGAAACTTAGCCTTTTTTAAACAGGTTAACCAAATTCATGTTTTTTTTTTTAATCTTAACCTATCTAAGATGCCAGCCTAATTAACCAACTAAGTCTACTGGACTTTAAGGTTTTGTATAATACATATTTTAGTTTAGAACCCACACATACTTTCACACAGCTGAAACATTAGAACTGCTTCCAGTGGTTTATTTGAGTTCTCTACATTATACAACAAAAGTTTGGACTGAATGGCATGTGATACTAAAAGAATACCAAGGAAGGCAACAGATAACGTGTGAATAACTTCCTAATTCCTAATATTCAATTCTGACACAGAAATAAACATTAAAATGCCAGTGTTGCTCATAAAATGCTGTACAAAAATAATATATACTGTAGGAACATAAATTGATATGGACTGTGTCTCTGACAACTGAGAGTACAAATGACTGTCAAATAAATAGGATTATACATTATAAATAAGAGATAGATTTACATGATAGATACACTGATTAAATGTGATTAAGGCTGTGACACTTTGGAACTGAAGCTGCATGTTGTCAAATTTGTGGATTGTGGAACACTTTGGAAATGTAATTTTCTATAAATGTCAATAGTTCTATTCAAATTAAAACACTTCATGTCTAGGCCTATACCCAAAATGATTTTGAATAATGGATGTTAAAGTTAATGTTATATTTTAGTATATGTTTCTTATAATGTAGTTAATCAAAACCCCAAATCCATTCAGATTCATTCCATTTTAAGCAGTGTTTACATTCATTTTTACATTCAGCCTCACCACTAACTGGCCAATAGTTTATTTTGCCAGAAGTCCATGATAACTGGAAAGTGTCCAGCCACCCTTGATTCCAGCACAGAAAGAAAGCAGATGACAACAGAAAACTCAATTCATGGGTTTCAAAATGTAAAAATTCATACAGGTGCCACTGCAATTAACAATAATCTGTCCTCAAAATGTTGCCTATAACAGGAAACTGAAACCCACAAATAATGATGACAATTACATGAGTAGCCTAGATTTTTGAAATAATTTCACAGAGCGTGTTCTAGACAGATCTCTATGGTACAGTAATCAAATTAAACTTAGAATGTATGTTGACTTTTCCACAATATTTAAAATGTAGTGTGCGCCTTAACTATAAAACAAAACTATGTGAGTGAGTGGCTGCAGGTGGGACAGCTATTAGCAAGTATTAGTGCAGGAGGTGAGCATTCGATCCGTGCATCCTCACTCAGGGTTAGTAGGGCCAGCTTCAGTGCACACAGTCTCATCCAGTCTCCAGGCCTTGATTGGTTAGTTACACAATGGACACTATGGGCCTGGAAATATGATTACTGGCTCTGTTTGTCGACTCTATGCATGTTTTTATCAAGTATTAATAAAGTCAGGTCACTTCTTCAGAACAGGGAAACTTTCTTCTTCAGTTCATTGCGTTTCCATAGCGACAGGCGGTCAAACTCCACCATTGGCATCCCAAAGACCTGCTCAAATTCCTCTGGAGCCAGGTGCCGCTGAGAGGATAGACACGGTGGACCATTTAACACACATGATTTCTATGTTATTAAAGATCATTTGTTCTTTTTTGCAATTGTTCTCAACTTTATATCACCTCTGTGCCAACTTGCAAAAACTTTAGGCTACAATTTTTAGAAGTAGTGGAAATACTTGTATTGTATTGTAATACTTGCTTATTTTTATTCTACATCCGTATTTAGTTTTACTGGTATTTGTTTTTATAATTGGCATTCATATCTCTCATACACACCTCTAGTCGCATGCGGTCAACACCAGGAGGTAGCTTACAGCGCCCTCTATGGGTCACAATCAGTGCTTCATAGGGATATATCTGACAGAGGACACGGAATATAGTTTTAATATGTGGCATATGACCTTACTTCTGTATTGATACTTCTGTAATACATAAATAGTCTCACCTTCTGCTCCAAGATACTTGGCAGTGAGGTTCCTCTGTCCATCCTCTCCTTACGATCTCCATTCTACAGAGCAACACACAATCAGTGTTGCAGCAAAAGTGTGAGAGTATGGTAAAGATGCACATTAGAGATTAGACTCTGTATAGGCATAATAAAAATGTGAAAAATGTCAATGAAACTGGGCTTTGTTTCAAAGTCATCAATGCAGAAGATTTATTTGCAACTCATTTGGATCAAATATTGGGTTACATGGCGTTTTCTCTGTTAAAAAGAATTGTTAAATTCATTTTCAGTGATATCTCTGGTCCCTGATTTGAAGAAGTTTTTGAGAGCTTTAGTCCATCATCCATATCCACTATGTAATAAATAGACATTACATTCTATGCTAATGGTATTGATCACTTGCCATCAAGCTCAAGAAGAAAGTTTTTAAGAAGTCTGTCCCATGTTTGCTTTACTCCATAGAAATCATATATCATACAGATATATTTTTTATTTCACATCACCTAAGTGACAGTGTTCTTGATAAAAGTAAAGACAGAACACATGCTGAAGTATGTATGTACGATGCATCAAAGGCACAGGGCAGTGAATGTCATGCACATGCCACACATACGCACACACTGTTAGTACAACACTCTTACCTGAGCAGCTGTAAAACATGAAGAGAGAAAGAATGAGCTCTAGAAAATAAACTTTTCAGACTAAGTAACACAAAACAAGAAATGTACCTGGTTGTCCTTTGTCTCCATTGGAAAACTCTGCAGACTGCATCTGTTAATACATGATTAGATGTTATGTACTGTAAGATCAATTTTAAAGAGCCCATATTACGCTATTTTCTGAAATATATTGTAATGTTGTTTCCTTATAATGTTGTTTCATTCACACATGTTTACATGTTTAACACACAAATACTGCATATTTATATTGTGTGCTACTCTCAAACTGAAAACACTCCTTCTTGTGATGTCATATGGTAATACATATGTGGCGCTCAACTGTGTGTATATATGTGTGGTAACCACGTATATCTGTATTTTTACAGTGTATATTAGTGTTTATATCAGAATGCACTTACTCTGGTCAGACCTGTGCCTGTCCGAGATGGAGACTTTGAGGCATTTGTAGACAAACCTGCAGGCAGTAAACATGTATTAAAAGGAGGTCTACCTGAGGGCTCTGAACACGTAAGTCTTACTGCCGTGCATGTGGGTTCTGTCAGGCAGTGACTGTGTCTTCCTCCGAAACTGAATGGATTTCTCCTTCTCTTCCTTCAAAATGAGACGTCCAAGATTGGACTTAATCTGAAGCCATCAGAGCAAAAAGGAGCAGGTGATCTCTTGCACTTCAGGTTTTTGTACTGTATACGCAACTACATAAATATTACTATAACATACCTCTTGTCACAAGTTTCACTTCAGTCTGAACAAAAACTTTTTAATGTACAGTAAAGTTTCACCTTTTCGAGCTCTTGCTCTTGTACAGTCTTCACTTCATCTGTGTCCTCAAACTCATCTTCCTCCAGTAGTTTTTTCTTCCTCCACTCAATCTCTAAAAAGAGCATGTATATACCATGTACAGCTGTGTCCAGAAAACCAATGTAGTGTAAGTGCAGCATGTGTGCGTTACCCATGGCAGCTAATGAGGGGGGACAGGGCCAATATTCTGTTTCTATCTTGGAAGGTTCATTGGGATCTGGCCGCTGAGCTGCAGGGAACTTGGCCGACTGAATAACTCCACTGCCCTCTGTATGCTTGCTTAGATCTGTACAGATACAGCAATCCAAGTAGGAATTGTTAAAATACAGTAAATTATAATCCAGTAAATTATAATTTACAAGTGCTCACCTTGTTTATAGATGGGAGGCTTTCTGTAAATGTTTGCTCCATTATCTACAACAAAAGAGATATATTAAATCCAAATATACAGTTCTATTCTTCTCTGAACAGTATCTCTGACTCTGATTCATCTGTGACATATATACCTGGTCTGTGAAAATGTTGTAGGCTGATCTTGCGTTCAGCCTGTAGTTGCAGCGATGATCCTCCAGGAGAGACGCTGTCACTCTCGGCTCTTTCTAATTTCACCTGAACAGTAATACGGTGCACGTGTTATGAAGTGGAACTGAGACTGGAATATTAGTGGCTTTTATGTGAAATGAAGAACACTGTTGGTTATGCATATTTTTATGGCAAGTGTAGTATATAACAATTGTTTTGTTGTCAACTGATTAAGATGGCAGTTATTCCGTTTGATTTTAAAAAATGGACCCAGAAAGTAATGTGACTGATAGACTACTATAACTACACAGACAAGTTGTGATTAAATTCTGCACAAGAAAATCAATTCATTTCAAACCAATTCATTTTTTTTCTGTTAAACAAAACAAAACAAAAAAATGCTCTTCATTGCCTGAAAATATAAAATACAGACTTTTAATCAATGCTATAAACACAGAAAAGTCGTAACTCTGCTCCGAACCACATGCTTTACTGAGAGTTGGATGTAGATCTCTCAAATAAAAAAGACCCATCATTAAGGAGCCCTATAACAAAGTGTTCAACAATGAAATTTAACCCCTGCTGTGGCTATGACAGACAGATGAAATGCACAAAAAAATTGAATCTTTGAAAGAGACAAAGCACTGGTTGTAACTTACAGAATACTCAAAAATACGGGAACAGACTTCTCATTGTTTGTTGGTGTTGTGACCTTCTGTTTCATAATAAAAAGCCAATTTCCAGTGTGTCATGTAGGGTTCATGTACTGGATATAATGAGTAATTTTGTATTCAAGAATACAAATAGAAAACATAATACAAATGATAGAAATGTACATACATAGTGGAATTTCCTCATTGTGGCCATAATTTCCCCATTGGGGGGATCAAATAAATGTTTTCTTTCATGTATTTAATATTCATCTTGGATTTGGAAACAAAAGTAACATATATTTACCTCATGGGATCTTGTAGGCGATGTAGAAGGAGGAGACTGAGATCGCTATTCATAACACACAAGTATACATTTATTATACAACTGAAACAGCCATGTGATCCAAATGTTAAGAGCCCTACTTCTCTGCGTGGGGCGTCCAGCGGCGAGAAGCTGAGGTGAGGCTGGTAAGTCATCATGTCAGGCCTCTCCACCTGCAGTATGGCTTTGTCTCTGGGCAACGCTGCCAAATCTCTGTAGCCCACCACCCGGTCATCCACACGAGCCTACACGCACGCACGCACACACACACACACACACACCACCAAACAATCAAGAGCAATTATCTAAGGAGGGAATCTAATATAAAAAAAAGTGAATAGAAATTCTTACTGTTATGCCTGTGGCTGGGGACCCTGGAGTGCTAGCGCCCCTGGAGGAGGGCAGGTTAACTGGGGTGACCCGTCCCTCCACCTGTGACGTCATCAGACACATTAAGGAAACTACAAATTTACCTTTTTATTACAAATACAGGGCAACATTTATTATTCTTTTAGTGCAAATTTTTGTTTGTTAGCTACAAAGGAATCTTTTTAGTTGCAATTTAACATTTCCGGATAAATGATGGATAGGGCAGTTAAGGTTGTAATGGGTCAATAAAAATGCATTACTTTTACAACTGAATTGATCATTTGGTAATAGGAATTATTTTATGGATTTGTATCTATAATCAAAGTGTAAAGAATGATATAACCATTACCTTCTGCATGACTGGAGAAAACCTTTTCTCTCAATGTGGTATCAGTTGGCTGAAAAAAACACACACCAAACAACCAACCAACCAAACAAACAAACAAAAAAACATAGAATGGAGATGATCAGCATTCATACTCCAAACATTAGACACATGCTGAATTTGAGGGCAACTGAAGCTCTATATTTTGAGATAACTTAATTGACAAGATTACTTATGCCAGTTTAGTTTTGTAGTTGCCAGATTATACTGCTAAATATGCAATTTGATTAATTAAACCTGTGTTTTTTTTTCTAGATGCTAAAAGACCTCTGGTATGATTTCAGAGGACTAATGGATTGTCTTGGATATTTTACTGCTGCTCTGAGCACAGATCATTCCTTTCAAACAGAAGCACCACTTCCCCTGGGCTTTAGTGAGAGGGATGGGGACAAGGAGTGTGTGTAAACCTACACTGATCAGATTCAGGCAGGCTGTTATGGAGTCTCCTCCAGGGACAGTGGCTGGGAGTGGTGGCCTGCCAACAGGAGAGGCACCTTGTGTTTAACTGTTCAAGTCTCCACAAATCTTTCGGCTCAGAGGGGAGGATATCCTCTATTTGAAGACCACCACTTCCTAGAAAGGCTCAGTCCTTCTCCAAGAGGACTTTTGTGTGGACCTCTCACTGTGCAATGTCTTTCATCTGGTCCTATCATCTCCATCCCAGGCATGCTCTTCCTCTTCCACACACCACCCCTTTCAACCTCTCTCCACTCTTCACTATGGCACTTTATCAGCAAACCCAGTCAGGCCAACGCCCAGGCCGCCCTTAACAGTTATTGCTAGGGTTATACCCCTCCCTTTACAAAATCAAAAGTACACTGCTGTGAGATGTATATTCACTTTTGTTGAACTTTAAAAAATACTATTTTCTAAAGTCCTGATACATAGGGCCTAGGGACTGATGGCACAACAGTAAATATTCTGTGCATGCATTCACATTTGAAGCAACCTCTGTGACTTATGCTTTACCTTGCTCATTTATCAAGGCTGTGAAATTATTAATCTAAAATGATAAAACACAACAACAAATTTGCATATTCACATTCATTTTCACCCAGAATAATTAGGCTATACAAACAAAACCAAATAAACCATTGAGTTAATAGGCAATTATTGTGATTGCTTTTCAAAAGGAACGATTAGACATTTGCCATTTTAGTGTGATTATTTAGCATTGAGCACAAGGAGAGAGTCCATCACAACAGCGTTAAGGTGAGATTTGTTGAGATGTTGCATGTCTATTGGAAGAACCATTTTGACCCATAGTTAGAGAATGCTGCACTAAAATGCGCCTTTATAATATTTCCAATGACCCTGACCACACCAAACACGAGTGACAGTCCTTGTCCCGCGGCCTAGTCAGTTGCCGTTCATATGGCTTGTCTGGTGCGTAATTACGCGGATAAAAAGAGGAGGGAGGCTAGGAAGCAAGTGGTACCTCATTGCGAACCGTCAGCTGTCTGTGTATTAATTCAAAATTCTGATTTACATAACTATAGCAATAACACATAAAAATATATATTCTTACCCCCAAATAACAACGAAAAAGGACGATGCGTGTTGGAGCTTTAGGTAAACGCATCCGGACCAGCCTCTCGGCAGCTAAGGACAGAGAAGGAGGAGGAGGTGGCGGAGGAGGAAGGGCAGAAGGTTGTGGCTGTGTTTCTGATATGATGTGACCACACGAGTTAAAACAAGACGAGTTTCTGTGGCTTCATACCTGGGTCATCACTATTTTTGTGACAAGAGAACAATCTGTTAGTGTTAACGTGTAGAGTCCTGATGTCTGCGTCAAAAATTCGACCAAGCAAGCAATAAATAGATATTAGGTAATACACAAGACTAAATATGTAGACTGATAATTACTTTCCTAAGCCAGTTGCATTAACACACTCCCTTAGAAAAAAAAAAAGAAAATATATATATATATATTTGGCTGTCTTAAGAAAAAGGTACAATTATTAGGTCGGCCGCAAGATGGTAGCATTTAACTAAACAGCATTGGCAATTATTTTTAGTGCAATACTTTAAGAGACCATTGGGCCTTGTTGTTTAAAATATTATTCCAGTTGTACGAAAAACTGTTAAATGCATAAATAAGAGCGAGGTTAGATATATGCCAATATTTATATATTACCAAAACATTTGATGGGGGAGATCTGTCGCTTTAAAATATGTGACGCAACAGTACATGGGCAAAGAGTAGTAATAGTCAAGAGAGTATAATTTCTGCGCGTGTACTTTGTGTTTAGGTAGTAGACTGATACATTTGTGCAGTATATGGGTTATGGAAACTTAGACAATAGTTTTTTCTTATGTATAAATATGTCGTCTGTCTATTGTCTGTAATAATGTCTTTTTTGGTCCAATAAAGTCAGAGTAATCTAAAGAAGTCACAGCGAATTGTTGCGGTATGTCACGAAATCTCTTGTTGCTTGCAAATCTTTGGCAAACATGGCGTCAGACAGTGCGTTGGCCGCTCTGGTAAATTCTTGAAATATACAGTTTACTAGAATGTACACGAGGAAAGGTCTTTGTTTATGAGAGTATGGCAAATTAAACCTCAAATTCTAGCAAATTCTGTGGTTCAGTTGCGGCTATGAACGTAATAAAATGTTCGATAGCTGGTTGACAGAAAACACGTGTTTTTACTACAATATCTGTTTTACTAGGCTCGAATATTATAGTTCCAAAAATGCAGTGTATTAGGTGTACAAATCTAGTGTCATAGTTATATCTGCGTTTGTTGACTGAGACAGCAGAATAATGAGACTGATAGGTTTGTCCTTTTCTCACAGGGGCCAGAGGGAGCGTCGGCTGCGGCACACGCTCTGTCTCTTCCAGCTGATGCATACGGAAATGATGTGAGCCTGCATTTTCACCACATGTTTTTTTATAAACTTGAAGTTGTTATAACTTTATGAATACAATTAATAATACTTATCGCACGAGTGTGCACTGAACGATTTCATGAAGTTGCTGGTGTTCCATGAACTGCTATAGTGCAGTAATATTATTATATTGTTATTATTTTATTGTATTTTATTCATTTATTTTTTTTTTTGGGGGGGGGGGGGGTTCTGGTTTGGTTATGATTTGAGCCCAGTTTTGTTCCAGTTACTCTTAAATTCTAGTCCAGGTCAAATCTGAAGATGAGCCTGGATCGTTATTGTCCCTCTACTGTCCCAAAGGGTTATGCCAGTGGAACATACCAGGAACACCAAGGCAGATTTTTCTTGATTCCTTTTCTTGATCCTCCATTTTTTAGCTGTTAATCAAATATGCCATACTAAGCAGTGTCCCAAAGATCAGACAAGACAAGGGAAGGAACCCTGAGTGAGAATTCAGGAGGCAGACATCAATTAAAATAATTGCCTCACACTGAGACAGTGTTTGTGTCACAACTACACAAGTATAGGCAAAGCAGCAAAGCATGTTGCGTAATCCTGAATTTGAAATTAAAACAATAAAATAATGTCAAAGCACATTTATCTTAAAATAAAGATGTTGGTCTGATGTTGATTTAAAAGACCTGAAATAATAATATAAAATAATCATTAGTAGAGTCCTTATTTTAGGGTAATTTGGTGAGAAACAGCACTTGAGGAAAAATCTGAGAAAGTCTGTCCCATTCACCCTGAGCTCCTGTCTCCTCTGCTCCTCTCACCTTCCTGCAGGGGCAGACTCTTACCATGGCAATCTGTGCCTTCTAGAAAAGTCCAGTGGCTGTTTTTTGGTCCCAGTCCGCCCCTGCCTTCTTCTGTCTCTGTGGGTAGGTCTTTATCACCCATTTCCTCAAAAATTTAGGAGAGGAATCAAGGAAGCGAGGAAAGAGAAATCACATGCGCCCCAGGAGTGCAAGCATGCCCACAAATTGAGAAGAGGACGACATCCAGTAGAGGTGCCTGAGCCACCTCAGCTGGTTCTTCTTGAGATGAAGGAGTGACTAGTCTACTGAGGTTCTTTGGGTGCTCTTCAAACTATATATATGGGTCTAACCGAAATGGATGATGTGGGTTAAGCTGCAGGTGAAGCTGTTCCTGGAACATCAGCAACAGTTCAGAATGACCATGGAGATCCGATGTAGTTGAGTTAAACCCAAAACTATGTATTTTCAATGTATGTATTTAAACTATTGTGACTAATACAATTAAAATGAACTTGATTTATTGCAGCCACGACTTGAAGCCATGTGGGCGATAAAGGCGTCTGACCATGCAGAAGTTTACTTTAATGTAAGTATTTTTTGTTTATAATTTGTATGACAGATTAGACTACCCATTTGACTAAAACACAGTAAAAATTATATGCGGGCATGCCATCTGCATAGAAATATATGTAAAACTTTGAACATTCTTCATGGAGAACATCCTAGGCAAAGCAATAAGATCTCCATGGAGTCATGACGGACTTGTTATGGGTCAGGTCTTTGAAAAATGCATAAATTTGGTTCAATGCTGTCACAATTGAAACTGAAGATGGTAATTTTATTATAAACACACATGGAAAATCTAAAGAAACGCTAATCACAAATACATATGGTGGTAATAATAAAAGAGAGTTTTGATTAAATTAAAGATTATGTGGAAAAAAGTAAACTTAAGTTAAGGAACAGGTACATTTTAGTGCAATGTAGGATTTTACTATCTTTCACTGTGTGCTGGGATAAGACATTTTATTCCTGATTTCAATCACTTCCCTTGTATATTTTTGATGTTTTACTAATTTGTGTTTAGCTCATATCGTCTGTGGACCCAAAATTTCTAAAACTTACCAAGGTGGATGACAAACTTTACACATTATTCAGAGAAACTTTCAAAGATCTTGATATAAAACTGCTGAAAACAGAAGACCTTAAATCAGATGAAGCCAAAGAGGTGTGTTTGATTGATACTCATTGGCTTATTTTATGTGCTCATTTACTGAACAAGTTAAATGGAATGTTTTTGCAGAGATGGCGACCTTTTTGCAATCAGTTTGAAGGAATAGTTGAAGATTTTAACTACGGCACCCTTCTTCGTTTGGACACAGAGAAAGAGTATACAGAGGAGAACACAATATTTGGTTTGTTAAAATTGATTGTAAAAAATATGTGCGCAAGACTAATTACACTTTATTTTAATATCTCCTCTCTTGATTGCAGCTACACGAGTGCAGTTTTATGCTATAGAGATCGCCCGCAACAGAGAAGGCCTCAATGACAAGGTGTTTAAATCCAAAAGTAACAGTTAAGTTTGAAATGCATAAATCTTCCTCCCAATGTAAAATCACTCTTTAAACAGTCAAATTCTGTTGTGGATAAATATAGATAATAGATAATATCAGGCCTTATGCCTGATATTTCCATGGCCCAGGCCTACTTTTTATACTGTCTTTTCTTGTAATGTGACCTATACTAATACATACTGAACTGAATTGTTCTGTTGTGCCATACTTTTATTTGTTAAATGGTGAAACCATAATAAAGTATCCTCCTTTCTACATCACACTGCATTGCCACACAATTTGTACTTTAATATATTGTTTTAAAACTTTGTACATGTTCACTGTAGACCGTAGTTAATTTGCCAGCCTTCCTTGGAAATTGTACAATTTTTACGGCCACAATTATTCAGTATAGGGGTTCTAAGTTTAGTGAAGGTTAAAAACAGACACTGGTAACTGTAAAAATCAGTGAGGTTTATTTGCAGTCACAATGCTTACACTATATATGTAGCAGACATCCAAACAACTCAAAACAGCTATTCACTCTATGGACCCAACACATTCACATCAGGGACACAAACCAAAAAAATATTAACTCAATAAACATCCATGAGTGCTGACATGGTAAGAAATGAGCTAGTTGTCACAAAAAGTTAGCAGCAACATCGTAGAGAGAAACACAAGTTGCTAATATATCCATTTTATCATTCAGTTTCCTTTTATACTGCTCTGAACTTCTACAAAGGTTTGATGCGATATTCTTCAGATATTTAAAACAAAACTGGATTCCTTCAAGGGAGCTTAGATGACATTACATTTACTGCTGGCAATCCATTAAACCTGGGAACTTTGAATTTCCTATGGCAGAAAAGGCCCTCTGGATCCTCGCTGTGGCAGCACCATAAAACTCTACACACTCACTAGGCAATAGAGCCACTTCACTCCACACAGACAACACAAATCTGCAAACACACATACATTGCAGGACTATCCTCATTATGGGGCAGTCCCAAAACCTGGTCCAAGGATTCCAGAGTGTAAACAAAATGGTCGAAACTGCACCCAGCCTACCAGAGGAAAACATGTAGCTATTACCATGTTGCTTACACATTAGCCATTACAAAACTTCTTTAAGGGAATAAGCAAGTGTCTGCACAGAGGATCTTATGGGGGATTAGGCCTAATGTTTAGCGCTTGCTTTGAGCAGAAAGGCAGAGCTGCAACAGGCCAGAAAGAGGACTTTGGACCGTGCCAAGTCTGTTTTTGCAGGAGGGAAGTGGCTATTTACATCACTTCAACATGATACTCAAATATACAACATGGATGCTCCGAGTCTCCCTTTTCTGTTAGTGTATGTACCTCTTTTTCTTAAGTTAAAAAAGAAAAAAATAACACTTGCCACTTCAGTGCTTGCATGGCTGCAGTTGGATTCACAACCTGGCAACCCACTCTCTGCTCCCCCCGCCTCCTGTGGAAACCTTGTTCCGCACACAGACAGATATTTGCACTAACTCACTACACTGTAAAAAGCTCAATCACACTTTTTCAACTCAACTGTGTCTTAAATTTCAATCATTATAAACATTGTTCAAAATGTTACGAAAAGAAATGTACACTTGGATTATGTTTTCTATACAAGGCAGGCAGAAGCGGATTACATTTACCAGTTGTTCCCCCATACACTCCAACCGGAGTGCAGATGCGTACATGCGAAATCTCCCTCCCTTTAACCTACAGTGTGTCCCTCCATCTTCAGCAATGACCAGATGAATGATCTTTCAGACCAATGCAGACTGGCTTTAAAATAGATCTGTATATATTTATATATGTTTTTTATCAAAAAGAGTGGGAAGGGCCTGTCATAGGGAATGGGTAAGTGAAAACATACAAGCAAAGTGGTTTATTGGCTAAATTTAGCTCAGGTCCCCGAAAAATTGCTGTACACGCAGCAGTTCAAGTTGGGGAAAGTTTGGAATCCCTGGGCATCCTGGCCCAAGGAAGAAGAGAGGCTGATGCAGCGGAGAAACAGGGTGCTGGCGAGGGGCAGAGAGGCTGTAGCAAAGGAGAGCCGAGAGCTGGGAGGAACTCTGGATGTGTCTGGATAAGATTCTGCAGTGTGGAATGTCAGCTCATCATGTCGTTGCTGTTGACGCCATATGTAGAGTTCTTCATGCTATCATTCACTTCCCTCCTGAACACGGACAGGTTCTGGGTAAATCTAAACACAAGTGAAATAACAAATGCATTAATTGCTATACAATTTCTGAAACAATTATTTTTGACACTTGATCATTTGTGAAGTTACCTGTCCCGATTCTTTGTTAAAAGATTGCGCTCTATTCCCTCCATCAAGTTCTCAAAGCACAAGTGCATGGCTTGCTGCTTCTCTGGGGGTTGACTGTTCACAATGCTGTTCCGCAAGTCGGCGAAATACTGAAAGACATGAGAATAATATGCATTAACATCACCATTCAAAAATAAACTCGTACTGTCCATGCAGTCTGTACCTTCTCATTAAGCAGAATGAGACCCAAGAGTGGACGTGACATTGACCACTGATTTCGACAGTCTTCAAATATAATAATGTTTAACACAGTTGACAGCATCTGCAAATTCATCATATGTTCTTTTAATACAGTGAACATGACTTGTGCATGTAATTACTGACTTAATACAGTAACAAATTCTGTAAAGGCCCATGTTTGTGTTTATCATAACCTGCTGAATCATCTCTGGATGTTGCTGCATGATGTGTAGAAATCTGTCATCTGTTGCCATTGGGGTGGGCCTCTTCTTTGTGGACCGAGACAGCTGCTTGAACAAGTATGTTACAATATGATCTAGACTGGAGCAGCAGCCTGTGCACACCATTGTATCTAAAATACAAAAACACACTGTATTAATAAACATAGGCCAGCAGCTGCACTTGACTGGCCTAGAAACAGCTCTTTACCAAGTGCAGTGAGCCCTTCTGAAATTGAAGACAAGATGTACATGACCACATGTGGTTCCAAACTGGCAATAAAATTCATGTGGTCTTGCGTCAACACTTCCAGCAAAGAGTAGAAAGACTGACTAAGTTTAGGGTAATCCTGGAAAAGGAGAAGTTGCAGTGAATATAGCATATTACGATTAAGTATTGCTGAGATAAGTCAATTCAAATGTGCTCTGTATTTACTAGTAAGTCACTGTGTGGGATGGACAGCAGTAGTTTAATGAAGGTTTGTAGGGCGTTGTCCAGAGCATCGTCCCCATATAACCGGAAGACCCCAAAGTTGACGTAGTTGCCACTTAACACGGCTTTGAGCATGGCAAAACATACACTGACCCCTTTCAACTTCACACTGTACACTTGGTCTTTAGGAACCTCTCCTAGTGTCAGGATTCGGTTTCCTGTTTGGGAAAACAAAACACATGACAGTGGTTAGGTTTCAGCTGACAGTGAAGCAGTGAACCTTCAACTGAGTGTTTGTCAATACCATAAGTAGTGATCATTTTGCTAGTTTCTCTGAATAGCAGAATGCCATTTGGTGATGACACATCAAACTGCAGCCGCTGAGATCTATGCAAAATTAAACCAAATGAGAAAAGAAATGTGTTTATTCTTTTTTTTTCCATTTTCATAAGGCTATACGCAAGTATCCTTTACCGATTGTGAACAAGTTCAGCCATAAGCTTGAGAACAGGCGTGGTGCATGCTGGGTCATGATACCAAAGCTCTATGGCTCGCTGTAAAATAGGCATGTAAGCTGGATATCTACAGGCACATGTTAAAGTAGGTAACATGAAAAAATGGCTCATATAGCACATTTCCCCATTTCCAGTTTAACATAAAACAAGAAGGATACATCCAGTCAAAAAGCATCATGAAGCTGGTTTTGGCATTAAAGGCAAAAGCAATTCCCCTCAGGTCTCTGACCAAACCAACCAAGGTACGCTGGAAAGAACACACATTACCAATGGACCAGAAAAATAAAGCATTTGTAATGTATCTTTGTGATTGTTACCTTGGCCTCCTGTTCATTGAATGTATTTGTACTCAACATTTGAGCCACAGTTTCAAATGCCGCTGTTAAGGGTAGCATGAATTGTTCAAACTGGTCTTCATCTTCACCTGTAGGACATGTAGAAGAAAAACACTTCTAAGATTTGTCAAAAATAACCATATCCAGAACCTGAACTGTAGGTACCTAGATCAACCATTAGCAGGCGTCCTAGTGCTGTATAGAAGGTGGTCCTACATCGCATGTCACTGAGATTAGACTGGTTGTTGACTCCCAGGAAAGAGAAGTGCTCGCTCTGATAAGACACATTTCAAAGTAACAAGTAACAATACAAGAGTGATTGTTAATGTGTACTTACTGTATGGTTATTAAGCATAAACTGAACTGCACTAAGCTTAACCAGCTTTCGTACACTGCTATATGTGCACCCAAGTCAAGGAAAAAGTGAGAATTGTTAATGTGATGTGCTGTAATTTTTTCTTCTTAAGAATCTTCTGTTGATTAAATGACCCTAAAAATCAACATAAGTAAAAGGATATCCTAAAGAAAGGTCATTCAGAAGCTGAAGAGTCTTTGAGGTAATTGGTTCACATTGGCCCCAGTACTTCAAATTGGTAATGCTGGAAAAAAGAAAAGCAGTTGTTAAACGCACCCTTTCAGAATATACAAAGAGTAAGTATGATGTAAATTTAGTTTTACTCACATTTTTCCAATAAAGACACTGAGTACCATGGTCTCATCATTCAACCCCAAAACCTCTGATAGTCGTCTATAAAGCTAAAATGGCAACAGAAATATATTCAAGATAACTTTAATTACAAAAAATAGAGAACATTTATTACCATATGCACATGGTAATGCATGCTCTGAGTTTGCAGATGGGCAGCTTAGGAGTGCTTTAGAAACTGAATGCTGATATAACATTTTAGACCCAAAACATAGAGCTAAAAGGGGCACACATGATAACAACATGTAATCCATACTAAAAACAAATGTGACCTGTTGCAACAAAAGTAACATATGCTTTATACATCCAACACCCAATCCTTGTAATTGTGCACTTCAAAATACAATATCCTACTCTAATATTTCTAAAAGACTAAACATTAACATTTAACATTTCACTAAACTCTTAAAAAGGTTAAGGGGGATTAATGTCACACCAGACAGTCACAAGGTTTTTTGTTTCACTACTTATCTGAAGGTGACATAATGCAGTTTCTGTCCAGAACAAAAACAAAACACTCTTGTCAGTCTCTGATACTTTGGTAATGTTGTGTTAGGGTGTTTTCACTGCTACTAGCTGTGGAGCTAATGGAGTTGTCAATCCGAGAGCAGTGCACTTTGGCTAGTGTGCACATGATTACTGTGCTCTAGAGTGCGAATAATGGCCGCTCTAAGAACGCCCTACGCAGGTGGTCTCAGAACAGAGCCTGCCGCACTCTAGGACTAGACGATATGGCCAGAAAATGAAATATGTATATTTTTGCTCACACAATGGATGATTACAGTTTATCAATTTTAATCGAAGTCTTTCAAATGGCTGATCTACTTTTTTGGTGCTGTACACAGTCACCAGTTGGTGTAAGGGTGTAAAGGTGCTTTTTCTCTTCGTCTACCAGCACACATAGGATGGACATAAGTAGGGCAATCGGCTGATGGCCTCTTGTGTGGATCATGGTGCGGTGTTGGTGGGGCTGCTAAGTGGTGCATGGCAACAAGGATTGCACCTACAGTGAAGTAAATAGAACTAATCTAGTGCGCACTGGGACCATATCACTGAGTGAATTAACATGTGTTAAAACCCCCTTAAACTGACAATGCTTAAACATGAACCTTCCATGGCAAAGGCTTTGGTCAGCATTAAGCTGCTTGGTTCAATTAACATAGCCCCATGTGACCCACAGTGAGAGTAGCTTAGCTGCAATCATTTACTTTAGCAAATTAGGACCAGGTTTGCAGCAAACTGGTAAAAAAATTATACCCTACAGACTCACCTTTGATGATTTTTGCACCTGGTCCCCGATATAAATCTTTCTGAACTGCTCAAAGAAGCTGAGCATTGCCAGTTCCAGTCTCTCGTTACCAGCCTGGGCAAGCCGAGAGTCTGTAAGATTCATCAGCTGAAGCACCCTAAAAGAAGGATGTAGAAATAAATAATAAATAAATCCATAAAAAGTAAAATGAAAGCCAACAAAACTAAGAAAAGTAACCTATAGTAGAAAATCAGGCTATAAGCACATTTATTACCGATACCGACTTTGGGACCATATACAGTTAGGAACAAAACTTCAAATGAGAAAATAGAAATCTAGTAAATTTGAGCAAAGCACCAAGTTCACCAACAGCTTCACAGACAAGAATGAGGCATAAACAAAAGCATTTTATCATTTGTGCTGCTAATGGTTTTGCCACAAAATTTTAATATTTGGTGGGATTTATTGACAGTTTGGCAGTTTTGAACAGGCTTCATGGCTTTGTACACTGGTATCTTAAACATTTTTCCTGGAAATATGCACACGCAGATATTATAAAATGTGAACGCTATTCAGTCCCATAATGCATTTTTAATTCATCATGAAATTTAGTCTGTATTTCCACTGTCTGTCTAAGTGAACAACCATAATAAACTCATAATGTGCTTAATGCAATTTAAAATCTTACCGACAGACCAGCTCTCCGTCCATGGCATCCTGCTCATCTGTACTGGCAAATGACACCCGTCCACCGATTACTGCCCCAATAATGTATACCAGCCATGTCAACCGACCTACACAGAGGCACAGAATTTCATCCTATGTTATAAATTAATGGACCATATTAGTGAATAAGAGCTGATGTGGCACTCACCCTCTTGTACTGTGATGTCAACAGCACTGGAGTTTGTGGACTGTAGCAGCTCCTGGTACGACTGCGCTGCCTGGTCAAATAGCTGGACCAATAGAGCACATGTCTTCTCATACTCACACCTCCCAATGGTAGACAACTGGTCCAACTGCTGCTGAACAAGTCCTGCATCATCTAAAGGGTCTTCTAAACCATCTCTGGAAAGCACAGGAGGGGGGGAAGAGTTAAAACCTTGAAAACGTGTAATCACATTTTGGTAACAAAGCAAGAGCAGTGGTTTTGATTACCTAAGAATGACATGGACGGACTCTAGCCGTGATGTAATGTAAGCCTTTGTGACTTCTGGAGTATATGTCTCCAGCAGATGAGGCTCTGTGGCTTTAACATAGGGAACAGATGCTGCCAAACGCTGCCACAGACTCAGAAGGTAGTGGACACTGTTAGGGGCAAACTCCCAGTGCTAGAAATTGAGCAAAATTGAATGCATGAAACAAGGACAACGGGCAGTTAACATTTAATTTTAAAGTATCTACAAACAATTAATACAAAACAATTAAAAAGTGGTGCACCCACCTGGAGGCTGGTGACTGTGAAGTTTGCTATTAAACGAATGACTTCTGGGTAGTTTTCGACTTTGACTAGCTCCCCTAACTGGTAGTTGCTCTTGAGCCTCGCAAGCAGGCGACAAAATTCATGATAGTTATTGGGATCCGGTAAACACTGTTGAACACATGAAAATCAGGAAGAGTTCAAAGATGCAAAAAAAAGGATGACCTTGAATAAATGAATGAATATTAATAAATTAATACACACATACATATATATATATATATATATATACACACACATATATATATATATACATATATATATGTAAGTATGTATATATAATATATACATACATACACATACATATATATATACATATATATATGTAAGTATGTATATATAATATATACATACATACACATACATATATATACACATACACACATATATATACATATATATGTATGTATATATATATAAAAGAGCCCGACCGATATATCGGTTGGCCGATATTATCGGCGGATATGAGCAACTTTAGGCATATCGGCCGATATGCTTGCTGATAGGGGCCGATATTTCACGTGGGCATGTTATACCTCGTTATAAAGCTTAGACTCTCTACATTCTGTTCATTTAATCCAATTTACAGACAGATAAATGTCCTAATATGTGGCTCCACATCAGTATTTATCTACGGAGTCATTTGTCTGTGTGTGTCCGTACTGTCCCTGAACACACCACAGAGTCGCGTCACTCACGTGTGTTTGTTTACACCTGCAGACACAGATCCAAACACTGAGATTATATTCTTTTTACGGACAATCGGTTTGAGTCTGGATTAAAAGGACATTTATTAGTGCAGATTTGTGATGTGAGGAGGAGCCTGTATGAGCGGTGAGTGTTGAAAATATGTCGACTCTGAAGCTAGTTTTTGTCATTTGTTATGCTGTAGCTCCCGCACATAAACAGACAGTTTTCTATTGGTCTGTTCTAAAGTGACTATATTGGCCGTATATTTGCTACTGGACCTGCACTGATATGTAAATGAGCTGTGAATAGAGGTGTGAATTATGACATTTGCGCATATAATTAATTACCGCGGCGCGCACGTATTTACGGCTAAAGGCTAATAGCGCTACTTTCTTTACTAGTTATGGGTCCGTCGGGAACGAAATGACTCTTAGAACCGGCTCTTTGAAGCGAACGACGGGAGCCTGATCCTTATTGGGAGCCGTGTTTTCTCTTTCTCTCACTTTTTTTCTCTTCACGCCGCGTGCAGATTCGTGGTTTGACAGCGGCAGCGGCTCAAAACGAAACTTTGAGAAATTTGCGTGTACGTAGGATTAAAAAAAACAAAAAAACAAAAAACGAGCATATTTGACTGTAGTTTAGCATAAAATAAATAAGTCCCGGTTTAGTCCTTTTTCAGTCCTGGTTTAGACCTGGTTCAGTCCTGATTCAGTCCTGCTTTAGACGTGCTTTAGTCCTGCTTGCAACAAAACAATCTGAAGAGCCACTTGGGAGCCAAAAGAACCAGCAGCTTTTAGTAAGCCGAGCCAAAAGAGCCGGTTCTCTAAAAAGAACTGGAATACCCATCAATAGTGTCTAGAATGTGAAGCAAAAATGCCATTAGGCCAACCTACTGTCTGTAAATATGATGTAAAGAGGCAGAATTACAATAAACGTTGCCTAAATAAACCCAATTTAAAATCCACCAGAGTTTTTTAAACAATTCAACATTTACAGTGAATTTTTACATCACTAAATATATCGGCGATCATATCGGCTATCGGCAGCTCCAACTTCCATTATATCAGTTTCATATCGGCCACAGCAAAATCCATATCGGTCGGGCTCTAATATATATATATATATATACATACATACATATATATACACATACATATATATATATATATATATATATATATATATATACACACACACACACACATACATATATATATATATACACACATACATACATATATATATACACATACATACATATACATACACATATACATACATACATATATACATACACACACACACACATATATATACACATATACATACATATATATATATACACACACACACACACACAAATATGTACATATATATATAATCATTATTTGATTTGAACAAGTTTACATATTTAGAGACATTATAATAATTTAAAGTAGAAAATACCTATCACAATCACACTAACCTGTGGGTTTGCCAAAATCCTCTTAACACCATCCACCAAATGTGAAAGAAACTTCGCTCGTTCTGCATTGTTGAACAAGGACCTCCGAACAGATGCAATCTGGACTAGACATGACAGCACCTGCAACACACACACACTATTAAGTCCAACCAATACAATTAGATAATAGTTGTATAATATGATCAGAAAATAAAATTTGAACTCACCAATGGAGAAAGGGATGGAGGAATGGAATGGTATAAATTGAAAAATAGTTGTAGAGTGGAGGAATCAAGAAAAGCTGCAAAAGACAATACAAGGTTAACAATGTTTTGCTGTAGTCACCAGCCCACATGGGTTGCAGTTGTATAATAAAATAAGTAACCTTAATGAACACTACCTGATCTCCATGACGTGGGAATCTGTACGGTACACAAGTCATCAGAGGATTCATCTGTGGAGGTTCCTATGAAATCATAGTTGAGGCAATTATAGCTAAGTTTGAGCAACTGCATCAGCAGGCCATGTTGAGATTCATCGTTCAAGTTTAGATTCTTTGCTGAAGCCTGTGAAGAAAAACAATGATAATAATAATAAAAGGAGATCATACAGATCCATTCTACTAACAGCGCTAAAACCATACACATATATTAAAAAAAAAAGTCACAATGAGCAGTCTGTTTTAACACGTACCTGTTTTAAAAGGTTACATGAAAGGGTAAAGATGTCAAAAAGAGAAGAATCCCTGAAGGACGATGCAATTTTTCTATGCTTTGTTAAAGGATGTGTTGTGTCAGCCTTAAAAACAATAAGCAGAGGGTTTCAATCTTAATTTCATTCTGAAAAAGGTAGAGGAATTTATCCTCATAGTTTAGTACCTGATTGATCTCATTGGTTAATTGTGATAAAATAGTAACTCCAATGATGCAGTGTTCAACACTATCCTGGAAATATAAATACAAATAATTATGAATGATTAATTTCACGTTTATAAAAAGAAAAACATTAATTTGCATAAACTTACTTGAAGAAAGCGTGTCACATCAGCTATAACATTTCGAAAGACATAGTCGTCTTTTTGACAGTCAAACCAACCCAATTTTGTGATTCTAGCATAGAGTTGAATCAGGGCTTGAGTCACAAAAGCTGCCAATTTTGGCCGTGTTGCCAGATAATTCAGCACATAGTTTCCTGTTAAAGAAATATTTGTGTTTAACTCTAAACAAAAGGTATAATTTGTGTGCGTCATGTATGGGAGACTTACGAATATCAACCCTTTGCTCCAGCGGCAGGGGGTTACTTGTCCTTGACACAAGCTTAGACAAACAGGTTGCAGCTAACAACTGCGAGTATGATGACTGGAAAGAGACAAGATCACATTTTTACATTGATATTGGTTGCCAAATAGGGATAATTTTCATTTTCATGTAAATATTTCTTCATGTAACACATGCAAAACATATTTAGAGTATTTATTTACTTAACACAGTTCCTATTAAATCCAATCAAGGGTTTGAGAATGATTACAAATTAGGATAATTGTTATAGTAATTAACTATCTACAGCAACATAAATATTTCAATGGTGAAGTGTCATCAAAATGTCACATATAACAGGAAGTTGAAACCCATTAATAAAAATGTTAGTGTGAAGTTTTTAATTAGATTAATGAGGGCCTATATCTCAAAGAACAAGCAAATGACATATTAAAGAATGGTTGATGGATTTAAAAACAATGTAGGAAAAGCTGGCTAAGGTACAGAAATTAGGTATTTCATTGAAAAAACAAACAGTGAGACATTGCTTGATTGCACAGCAAGATGTTACCACACCCACTGGGTCCGTGTGATATTATTTAGCACTTACACTGCCTCGCTCAAGAAGAAGCTGGCATTTGCTAAGACAGTCAGGACTGTTAGTAAACTCCACCAATGCCTTTTCTGCCTGATGTCGAACAGCAGTGTCGGTCGTCTCATACAACTGCTTACAAAGGATCTCCAGCTGGGCAAGGCCCTAGATAACGATAGAAGCACACAGTGACATATCAGTATCAAACAGATCCATATGAGTCACATACATGATTTTAGAACAATAAGATAACGCAAAACAACAACAGCAAAAACTGTCTCTGCTTGTAGACAATGTCTGTCCTGACATTATGTGACCAAAATTGCACTTTTGTTTTTATTTAATGATAAAAGCTCCAAATGCTTGCATTATTTTATTAACATAAGTTTTATAGCAGAAATTAACACAAAAGTGCACATATATGAATTGTATTAAATTCATTGACAGCTAATTAAATGAACTGGAGAGTATTGAATCCCATGCCATCTCCCTGCATGTTGGTAATAGATTACAGACCAAACCCTGTCATTACTGCTCAGAATCATGACTTACTATTCTATCATTAGAACAAGTGACTTGTGTTACACGTATACATTTTAATTAAGTATAAATTGTTTTCATATAAATGTGACATGACCCTTGGCAGTTTATAAAGTTACACGTTTTCCTATGATTGGTCTGTTATTAATATACATAGTAGAGAGTAACTATCATAAAATATTTTTTAAGTTTTCGGCTTAAGTTTATTTTATTTTTTTATTTTTAGCATAAATGAAAATCAAAATTATGCTGTCGTAACCTAGCTACAACTCGCAGTTCAACATCCTTAGACTCAAGCTGCTATCCCTGAACATGTGTCCAATCCCAACTCAGGAGCGGCTAGCTTTTAGCCATACAAGCTAAACATACTAGTGCAGCATAATTCAACAAACGTGCAAGTGAAATAGGTCCCCAGAGTGTAGTCTTATTTCTGTTATTAGATATGGGTTATAGTAAGTGACATAAAAAACAAGGGTGTTTTAGTCTGAAAAGTGTCAAAAGTAAATCATATTTTCAAATGAGCTCGGGCGGGAGAAATACAACTACAGCCTGATGCTAGCATTAGCTTAGCGGGTTAAAGTCGGCTTTTTACAACAATCGGCAAACTCATACATGAAGCACTCAGGCCCAAAAGCTTCCCAAAAGGGTGAGTAAAAACATACATAATATAGAGCTGTACACGAGACATTATGCCATTGTAAAAAAAAAACCCAAACAAAACAAAAAACAAAAAAAAAAAAAAACATGTTTTGTTTTGTTTTTGCTAGCTGGCACCTTTTCGTCCTCAACATAACCCATTTGTGTTTAATTGTTTACGTGAACGGAATGAGCGTTACCGAAATGCACCATATCTTAGCGACAATGCACAAATAAATAAGAATAACATTAGAAATGTTACTGCACCAAAGATAACGGCGCGGAGGCTTTTGTTTACGTTTTGGAAGCCAATTTGAAGCTCGCAGCTAGCATTAGCTCACAGTGTTTTGAGCCAAGTCTGAGCAATGACAGCAGGCCACAAGTCAACACAGGCACTCCATCCTTTCTTTAAGCCTCACACACAAAATACGGCATATTTGTGCACATCCCGAAGTCACTGCAGCTCCCAGCTCTAAACACACCACCCGGAAATAGCAGGCTCACTTTAATTTAGGCGTTTTAAAATGTAATATTGATAAAAAACATGAAACCTCTTCTTACCTGCACATGATCCGCCATTTTTCTCCATTTCATGCACCTCACACTCCGCTTATGGCTATAGACAGTGACAACAGCGCCCCTTCAGGCCGCCACTCAAGACCACATCTTAAGAGTCCAACTTTGTTTATGAGTTTATTTTTTATTTTGTTTTCAAATAACCAAAACAACTCTGATAATTCAAGGAATAATACGTAATTTAGTGACCTCAAAATTAATGTAAAATAGATATTACGGTTTAGACACAATTATTACCACGGATGCTGACATTTTATTTTACATGTATAATGTTCATTCACAGAAATGTTGTTGCCTTCCACGGAACAATATTGTATAGTATGATATAAAGCCTCTGCACTTCAGTTCTATCTAATTCTATCCCATAAGGGAAAAAATTGTTCACCAACCTTTTGCTTTTTCCTCAAGAGGGCAGTATGGGATAAGATTTCATTTTAAGCGTCAGCAAAGCAAATCCCTACGTATAACTGAATACTTTTATTGCTGCCTATATACGGTAATTAGTTATATAATTTTTTATCATTTGGTTCTGATCTATATGAGGGATTCAGATAGGCAAAGATCTGACACCAATGAATGGAGAAAACTTGACAGATTAGTCAAGTAGCCTAGGCTACATTACACATAAGGAACAGAAAAACACTTTGCGTTTATCAAACCAAAATATTGCAAATTATTTTGAAAATTGATGCATCCACCAAACTGATAAATATGAACAGGTGAACTGGACAGGGGAGTCACTGGGCAAAAGGGGACACAGGTGGCAGGCTTCCCGTGGGTCAATCAGACAGTGGAGATTGCAGACCAAGGGGATGAGGATTGATGGATATGATATAGATTGAGACAAAGCATCAGGCATACTTAAACTATGTCCTCCACATGATGCATCTTTCTCTGTCAGTCACTAGGACATTTACTCTCCTCAACTCTGATATTTATATATTTATTCTGAAAAGTCATAGAGAGCACCCTTGTGAATGTCTAAACTAAAGCACAATGCTGAAATGATGAAGACCCATAGTTTACCTATTTACAAAAAAGAAAAGAAAAGGCAGACAACAATGATTGAACATAAACATGTGGTGACAAATCACTTCTACAATGTTTTCTTGTTGCTCTTGGCTTGTGAAAGCTGTCCAGACTGCAGCGACATCCTACTGAGTCAACAAACAGCGTGCTAATAGAAACAACATTAGCTCCCTGAGGTTGTGTTGATGTGTTTTTAAACTTGCATGTATTGCAGTGAACAGACGCACACTAGGGAATGGACTGTGTCCAGGGTATATCAGGCTCCTTATGCAATTATGCTAAAGTGTAATTGGGCAGAGCTTGTTTTGGATCCATATGTATAAGCGCAAAGCAAAAATGGTTTAGTAGTTTATATCTGATAATAACCTTGTTCATGTCTCCATAGGGCACACACACAGTTCAAATCTATTTACAAAATCTGAACAGGATGATGACTGAAATCATGCTGTCAGGAGAAATATGATAATTTTGTGGTGTTTTGTGGTGATATGGTAATATGAAGATGATAGTGCATAATGCATAGTTTTCACAATAAAGTTCAGGCTTTTTGCTCAGCAAAAGGTACTTTACACTAGTGAACATTCTATATACCATGATTTGTCTACACACACACACACACACACACACACACACACACACACACACACACACACACACACACACACATATATGTATATATATATATTAGTGCTGTCATGCGATTAAAAAAATTTAGAGATTAATTAATTATGATCTGTAATTAATTAATCTAATTAATCTCTTTTTAATCTCACCTAAAAATTGCTGAGAAAAGCCTTCAATTTGAGGTATTTTCATTTAAATTCATTATTACATTATTGTGGCAGATCAAAAAACTGATATAGAACAAAAAAAAGTGACTTTATGAAGTCATTTATTGTTTAACAAACTTTAACAGATGCAGTCACATTCCACAGTATCATCATTATTATAATTACTAATCTGCAGTGTTGGGAAGGTTACTTTTAAAATGTATTCCCCTACAGATTACAGATTACATATCCCAAAATGTAGTTTGTAACTTAATCCATTCAATTACTTAAAGTGAGTAACGTAATTTGAATACTTGGATTACTTGATATTGTCATGCTTTTTAAAACTACATGAATGTAGCAATTGCATCCTGCAAATGTTGTTCTTGTTTGTTCTCTTCAAATTGGCTGTTGAGCCCAAATCACCATGAATAAGAAACTGTTTGCTGTAAAGTAGCAAAGACGAGGAAATCTGAACATAATAACCTTTGTCTACTTAAAGACAATAAAAAGTCCAGTCTTTCCTTAACCATATTAAAAATATTATTGATAGAGAAATGCTTTATATATGAGATCACTGGTTTTAGTCCTTGTTTTAGTCCTGGTTTAGACCTGCTTTAGTCCTACTTTAGTCCTAGTTTAGTCCTGGAATGGGTTAGAGTCCTGGTTTTAGTCCTGGTGTTAGTTCTGGTTTAGTCCTGGTTTAGTCCTGGTTGAGACCTGGTTTAGACCTGGTTTTAGTTCTGGTTTAGTCCTGGTTTAGACCTGGTTTTAGTTCTGGTTTTAGTTCTGGTTTAGTCCTGGTTTAGTCCTGGTTTAGACCTGGTTTAGTCCTACTTTAGTCCTAGTTTAGTCCTGGAATGGGTTAGTCCTGGTGTTAATTCTGGTTTAGTCCTGGTTTAGACCTGGTTTAGTCCTGGTTTAGACCTGGTTTAGACCTGGTTTTAGTTCTGGTTTAGTCCTGGTTTAGACCTGGTTTAGACCTGGTTTGAGTTCTGGTTTAGTCCTGGTTTAGTCCTGGTTTAGACCTGGTTTAGTCCTACTTTAGTCCTAGTTTAGTCCTGGTTTTAGTTCTGGTGTTAGTCCTGGTTTAGACCTGGTTTAGACCTGGTTTTAGTTCTGGTTTAGTCCTGGTTTAGACCTGGTTTAGTCCTACTTTAGTCCTAGAATGGGTTAGTCCTGGTTTTAGTCCTGGTTTAGTCCTGGTTTAGACCTGGTTTATACCTGGTTTTAGTTCTGGTTTAGTCCTGGTTTAGTCCTACTTTAGTCCTAGTTTAGTCCTGGAATGGGTTAGTCCTGGTTTTAGTCCTGGTGTTAGTCCTGGTTTAGACCTGGTTTAGACCTGGTTTTAGTTCTGGTTTAGTCCTGGTTTAGTCCTACTTTAGTCCTACTTTAGTCCTGGAATGGGTTAGTCCTGGTTTTAGTCCTGGTGTTAGTTCTGGTTTAGTCCTGGTTTAGACCTGGTTTAGACCTGGTTTTAGTTCTGGTTTTAGTTCTGGTTTAGTCCTGGTTTAGTCCTGGTTTAGACCTGGTTTTAGTTCTGGTTTTAGTTCTGGTTTAATCCTGGTTTAGACCTAGTTTAGTCCTGGACTGGGTTAGTCCCGGTTTTAGTCTTGGTGTTAGTTCTGGTTTAGAGGCGCACAAGAGGAAGCGCGGTATACGCAGCGTACGCGAGAAAACGTACGCGGCGCACGGGAGGACAGCGGTGTCCGCGCAGTAACTACGTAAGGAAACGTGGTCCTCGCGTTCTCTGGTTAATGACAATGATGAAGGTGTGTGTTTGTGTTTGTGTTTGTTTGTGTTTGTGTGTGTTTGTGTGCGTGTCCTCTCATGTCGCAGGTCACTATAGGACAGTAGTGCAGACATCATGAGCCTATGCAGGTTGTTTTCACCAGTGACATTTAAGTTGTAGGCGATTTTATATTTGTTATTTTCTTTTATATTTCACGTCGGGAGAATAATTTCCAAGACACGAATGCGTTTTTACCTGTGCACTGCTGCCTCTGTTCTACTGGCTCTTCTACCTCGTCCATTGTGCGACTGACGCCGCCAACGTGAACATGACGTTTACATCTCTCTTAACTGCGTGCGTTTTGTGTGGGTTTCCGGCAATGAGTGGAATTACCGAAATAAAAAAATTTATAAATGTGTTTTTTTTTGTGTGTGTGTGTGTTGTTGTCCCAACAACACATAAAAACAGATTTTATAATAAAGCAACTCGCATACATAAACAGTAAAGTTAGAGATTAAAAATTAGATTAACGCGATTAAAAAACATAACGAACTAAATATGACTGTAATTAATTAATCGCAATTAACGCGATAATTTGACATCCCTAATATACATATATATATATATATATATATATATAGAGAGAGAGAGAGAGAGAGAGAGAGTGTACTGTTATGCACAAGCGGTGTACCAGGGTCATAAGAACAGTTAATGGTCCATTACGGCGTAGATGTTGCTATTTGAGTTCAGGGTATGTTGAGAAGATAATGACATCTGCCGAGCATATAATAATCTGAGAGTCAAAACTGATTCTCTTCTGATAGCTCCATTTCATACAAAAATCTTTCATTGTATAATCTATAATCTTAAACTAGATGCTAATCCTAAATGCTATTCCAGTGGTTTTACACATTATGTCTTTCAAGATAATAACAAAAATAAGTCATGACAGACAGTGTGTGTGTCTATTTTCAAATTAATAGATGATATATGACCTAGTGATCTGGTGCACAAAAGAGACAAGAGTTTGTTGTGAAGTGATTTTTCAGATGCATCACATACAACAGATGCTGAGACAAAAGAATGCAGCCTGCCGTCTATTAGATGTGGCAGACACCAAGGTATGTCATTGGACGGTTTTGTGTCTTTTGCCTGTTCCTTCCCCAGACCCAATACCACTACAACAGTTCTTCCTCACAATCAGGCCCATTGTCTTTCACTCAGATATTGCAGTTTTTCTTCTTCTAAAACGTACACTTCCCTTGTGGCATTGTTTATCTCAACTATCAAAAGGTACAATGATGAGATAATCTATGTTTTTCAACCACCATTTCCAACAATTCAGTGTTCTCAGTGCTAAGGTTATAATTCATGCGTGCACCTTTGCTCTTTTCGGCAGTCTAAAATGGTTTTCAGCTGTAAGACTCCAGCACAATGATAAGGTCTTTTTCATAGAATCAAAGGCCTAACAGCTGCCATTATGTTCCTAAACAAAAAGCTGCAGC